AAATATAGAATCAAAGTAAAAAGTTCGGTTCGGTTTCGGTTCGGTTTTACACTTCAAAACTTGGAACCACGGTTTGATTGGTTCGGTTTGTTTCGATTCGGTTTCGGTTTTTTCGGTTTTTTTCCAAAAAAATTATCATTTGATTTAAAATTGTTAATACTTTGGGATCAAACATATACATAGTATTACATAAAGAATGCAAACACACTACAACAAATAAAATAAAAATGAAAATAAATAAATATGTCTTGAATTATATGAGTATGTGAGAGAGATAAAAGTATATATTATTAATCTACATTGTTTGTAACTAGTTCAAAAAAAGTTCATGAGTATATAGTTATATACGTTCTATGTGATATAGTTGAGATGAATATTTATTGTTTCATCAATATGAATTCTTTAAGAAAAATTAAAATAAAAGTTAATTAATACTAATAATTAGTAAAAACATATTATCATCATTCTGTATAGCTACATTATTACGGACAATGAATGTGTAAATGAATTTATAAACTAAACTAAACATAACACAAACATTATTTCTCTAGCACAAGAAAACCAAAGACTATTAATGATATTAGGATTAGTTAGGATTAAAGCTCAACAATTGACAAATAAATTTTATATTTTAATTAGTTCGGTTTGTTTGGTTCGGTTCGGTTTTGAAGAGTAAAAACCAAAACCGAACCAAACAACTACGGTTCGATTCGGTTTTTTACATTCGGTTTCGGTTTGTTAGCGGTTCGGTTTTATTTGGTTACGGTTCGGTATGATTTGATTCGGTTTTCAGTTTTCGGTTTTTCGGACCCAGCCCTAGTGAGAACAAATCCTGGCTTTTGATCTGAAGAAACGGACGGTTCATTAATCTGAAGGTGCATATCAAAAATCATGCACCGTGTCACACACATATGCATCAGGCATACTAATTTAAGATATGTGGCATGATTAAAGGGTAAAAAAGTCAAAATATGGAGGTTATCACTTACGTAACATTAGGAAGGATTAAAGGTCTATTCATTTAAAATGGTTTAATTTAAAAACTGATTTAACTTTGTAAATAATAATATGATTTTAACAAAAATCATATCAAATTTTATAATTTTTTTTATCTTTCATATGACACCAATATGTCATATATAATTTTGTTTCAAAAAAATAAGTATAATATCTATACAATAAATCACAAGAAACATCTTTAGCTATCGCATGCACACCAATATGTGTCTAACACACAACAACTAATATCTAACGCACAACAACCAATATATAACACACAATATGTATAAGAAAAACTAAAACAAGTATCTTAAGCACAAAATTCAATATCTAATGCACAAAGAACATTATCTGACACATATTAGTATACACACATATTAGTATATGCACAAAGAGCAGTATCTAATGCACAACAATTAAAAACTAATTAGTATCTAATGTATAAAGAATTCACACTAATTAAAATAGTATATAACACACAAGAATCAATATCTTATGCACAATACAAATATACACTCGAGAACTAGTACCTAACGTATAGTATATATACAATCACAGCAAGTATTTACCGCACAAGAATCAGTATTTCACAAACAACAACCTATATTTACAGCACATGAACCGACCATCTTACTATCAGCTATGATAAAGCACACTACAATTGGTATTTGATGCAAATTAAATGAATAGAAAATAAATTATAATTTAATGGAGAAATTTAATATAAAAAAAGAATATTTTGTTTCTAAGCATGGACAACTATATTCACGTAAGGAATGAAATTAAAAATTAATATAATATTACATTCCTAGAAATGTGGAACGTGGATCATATATGGAATGCATTAACTACCTTTAGTCGGTTACCAAAACTGCTTAGGACTAAAATACGTAAATAGCCTTCACGTAATTTAAGTTGAGCGCAGATCAAGTCTTCTAAATCGATGGTTGTGATTTGTTCTCACGTTCTTACATTAAGACTCGTTCTCATTTGAACCAATATATATATATATATATATATATATATATATATATATATATAATAAAGTATATAGAGGGAGACATGTGTGTATAATAAAATAGGAAAACACATTTTATTGCTGGGTTCATATACTAATTTCCTTCTCGTTAGTTCTGTTACCGGTTTTGTACTGAAGGGCTCGTTATATCTTGGGGGAAATTTCCGTAAGCCGGAAATAATTTCTTAGGACAGTGTCTGACGCGTCTCGAGCCACTAATATTTTTGTAGTTCTTTTTAGTGATTATTTTGCAGGTCAATTCTCGGAGCTATATAGTCAACGAGGTCAATTCAGGAGCAACACGGTCAACACGTTGATTTTGGAAGGATAGAGCCAACCGAACGTTATTAATCTTGGATTCAAACCAGTCCTAATGCATTTTTATTAATACAAAAAAAATGCTCTTTGATTTTTTCCATTTTACAATTTCCTCCGTCCCAAATTGATAGGAAAGATTAATATTTTTTGGTTGACTAAGGTTAAGATTTCATATCTTAACCGTAAATATGTGATTGCACGTGATAGTCTCAGAAAATGAAGTTTTCATTCGGTCGAGGTATATGATATATATCAGGGCCATAAAAAACAACTATTTGATGTGAATCAAGTTGTTTGAATGGATGTAATTGGTGCCAATTAAGAATGATCATATCTGTACATGCGGCTTAGGATGTTTTCTTTTGGACTGTTTTCAGGCCCAGACCAGATCAGACCAGACTTAAACAGACCAGACCAGACTTAGGGAGTGTTTGCAATTGCTTCAACTTTAAAAAAGTGATTTTTTAGAGTGATTTTGGAAAAAGTGATTAATAGTAAAAGTTGGCAGCGTTTGAGAAAAAAGTGGTTCTGAAAAAGTAAAATGTAGTACTGGTTGGTAAAATAAGTACTGTTTGTGTAATAAAAAAAGTGAGAAGCTGTTTAAAGCACCCTTCTACCTGCTTCCAGCTTTTAGCTTTTAAGTGATTAATTTAAGTAGAAGCTGTCATTTGAAAACACTCTTTTCAACTTTTTTAAGCCAAAAGCTGAAAAGCGCTTTTTTTAAGCAAATCCAAACACTCCTTTAAACAGACCAGACCAGGCCAGTCCAGACTTCCGTAGTTATAATATACACGGAGACCAGACGTTTACCAGACCAGACCAGCAAATTTCAGTCCAAAAGAAAACATCCTTACTTTAACAATAAAATGAAAAATATATAGTGAAAATAGTCAAATACATTACATTCTCCATTTCTACTTGATCTTTCTACTTAAGCTGCAACAACTGCTAGGAACACGTTTAATTTTTAGCACAATTAGACTTTGTAGCACATTTATAATAAAAAAGCTGCAGCCTTCCCGACACACTCTCACACTATTTACCATTTTGAAGGTGGGCGGGTGGATATGCTCACAACAAAAATGCTTGAGGTACACACTTTGTGTACACACTTTGTGTACACTCGTCTGTCTCTTAACAAAATTTTGTCTGTCACAGACAATTCATATATGAGTTGTCTGTGACAGACAAAATTTTCTTAAGAGACAGACGAGTGTACACAAAGTGTGTACACAAAGTGTGTACCTCTAGCATTTCTCGATGCTCACAAATGACTCTTTTCGTTCTTCCGTTAAAATCATTAGTCTTATTTTTCATTTTCTTTTTATGTAAATAAACTAACTTAATTGATGTATTTAGTTTTAGAATATTTAATTCGAGGTTTTAAAATATGTAACTTTATCATAATTAAGAATATCGCATATTTCAATGTTAAAAAGAGCCAACAAGAGTTAGAGAACGTCTATAGAGTGGTTTGTGTTTTTATACGTCACCTTCCTTTCACCTATGGACATGTGTACGTCATAGTTTCACAAGTAACGCCTTCTTTTGGATTGAATTTTATTATATGTGACGATGATGGAAAATCAGCTTTCAATATTGTTTATAAGGAGGTAGAGGCCGGCGGACCCAGTAAGGGTCCCACGGGGTCCCGGGACCCCCTGCACCTAAAAAAAAATACCTATATATTTTATATATATTGTATAGAATCAATTATTAAATGTATATTTACATAAAAAAATGACATAAAAACCAAAAGAACGGCGTAGAGGAACGGGAGCACACGTGGGATTTAGGTTTCTATGTTGGATGAGGTATCATGTTTGAATCCTCTTGGGGCTCCTTTTTTATTTTCCAAAACTATTTTAATTAAGTAGACCAAAACTACGTCGTTTTGGCCTATTTTAATTAAATAGACCAAAACTATTATAGAATATTTCCAACAAACGAAGCTTAGGAGCGTACATTTCTAGAATTGTTAAATGATTTTAATATGTAATTTTTTTGCTTTATAATACCTTAATATTTTGATGGTGTACGCTAACTATGAAATGTTATGCTTCTTTAATATTTTTTATTAGTTTTATAATAATTAGTGATTAGAGATATAAAAAGGTAGGGACCCTGTGACTTCGACTTTCTGGGTCCGCCACTGTAAGGAGGTGTATAGTAATTTGTATCCCTATTTCTTAGGCAAGTTGATAAATAAAGTTGGTTAAAAAAGAGAGCAAATAGAAAATTTAGAAAAAGTAAACATATAAAGAGTAAAGTAGAGGTAATTAAAGAGAGATAAGTTAGGAGAGGGGAAATTGTGAGACTTGACATGTAATGAGTAGGAAAGATAAATTTGAATAAAGGTGTAATTATAGAGAATAAATTATTTTCTAAAATAGAATGTTCACAATTAAATGAGACACTCAAATAAGAAAAGTAAGAACTCTTCAACGGAACGGGGAGTAGTTTTTTATTCACCATAGAAAAAAGCAATATATGTTTTTTAACGTTATCATTATATTTTTTTTAATAATTTTATGGTTCGTTGGTGATGAAATTCTATCTCATGTAGGAATTGATATGATTGGCCGGTGTGACACGGTGGACCTCCTCACGACCCTTTAATTATTTCGCTATACGGAGTATTATATATACGCTCACGTCGCCTATGCCGAAGCAGAAGATATAGATGGCTATGGCCGCGTCCACCCTAACCCGCAGCAGAATCATCATCTTTGTGCTCATCGTAATAGCCTCAACAATAACCGCCGAAAGGGTCCGTTTGGAGGAGGATGACCACCGAATCCTCAAGGCAATGATGGGCCGGTGCGGGGAGATATTCCTCAACCCCTCTTCGCCGCCGCCGGACAACATCGTCCACGCCGATGAAGCCCGGCTAGTCCCGAGACTCACCATGTACAACTGCCATCTACTTTTCGGTCAGGTCAGTAAGATAGCGGGCGCAATCACTCCCGCAGCCATTCGTCAGTTCGAATTGTACGAGGTGCCCTTCTATTATCCGAGGGCCTATTTATCATGGGTATCGCCAGATTTTGAGGACTATTTATCCGAAGGTCCAGTCTCCGTCAAAGGTAATGAAACTGAGATTCCCGACAGAGATTACCACGCCTTGAAGACGGTCATGGATTCTTGTGTTCTCCAGTTACTGGATGAGAATTATGAATCCGAATCAGAATCTGGGGATAATATCAGATTCTGCAAGGAGTACTTTGACTACTTCTCCTCCTTTTACTACTACAGGGACAGGCTGACCCCCGAGTTCGTCCATGTCATGAAACACTTCGAAAAGTACTACGCACTTGACTGGGAAGCAAAGCAAATACATATTTGCTTGCTCACTAAGATGCAAAGTCCCCAAGACTGTTTCCATCTTTACGAGTGCTGCTTTCCAGGATTCGGAGAAGCTGTCATGAAGGACACCCCTGTGCTTGATTTAATTACTGATGGCCTCCTTTCATAGATGTTATATATGATCCCTCCATCTATTCTCATTGCCTTTTTTCGTTTTTCTATGATTAAATTAAATCAGAGGGAGCTATCTATCTGTGTAGGAATAAGTTCAAATAATTAATATTTAATAATTGGGAAATCCAAAGGTGGATACTTATTGATCTTCGTCATATGAAGAGTTTTATAGGAGTAGTGAATCACCGTCCTCTGAGTTGGATCGCTCAAGGATCTGTTATTGTGTCCGCGTAGTAATCAAATTCTATTGTAAAGTAAGAATATTATTTGTCTTTTCTTCTTTGTATTTACATTAGTCATCAATAACACAAAAACTTTATTGTTACATCAAATCATTTTACCCCACATCAATAAGTATAGATGCCTTCTCGAATGTAGAAAAATGTAGACCCAGTCCTCCGTAGTTGGCAAATAATGGAAATAAATACAAGGTCTAGCATGGGATCTCTTTTTTTGGCTTTTTCACTCTTGCATTGGAGTGGAGTGTGAAAACACTCCATTTTACTCCGTATTATATTAGCCCCACATAAAAATAGATCTTGTTCAAAATAATTAAGGGAAAAAATTCGATTGGGATGGGTTCTGTTCTACGGGCCATGTGGCAAAAAAAGAAATGAAATGCCAAATGGAAACATTTGAGCTATAGGGGTGATGTTCATCCTCCAAGGAGGGGGCGAACAAAATTGCACTCCTGTAAATCCCTGCCCGCAATTCCTAACAATATGCTCATTCGTGATGCCCTTACTATATAGCCAGCTTGTTTATCACCAACTATGTTTCTGTAAGTTTAATTTGGGTTATATCAGTTATAAGTTCTCTAATATTAGGTTGCATTTGGACATGTAACTAATTTGTAGTAAATTAGAATTCTTTGTTCTTTAAGTATTGCTCTATCAGAAAAGTATATATAGGATGCTTTCTAGCGCGTCTTAAAGTCAAGAGAGAATATGTCCACCGAAAAGTATACTTTAGTTAGCATTAAATTGCAAATATTTATTAGTATAGGATCAAACTTGTAATAATAACATAAATGCATGGTTGAAAGTTACCGGACTAAAATTGCAATACTCCTTTCTTCAATGTCTTTGACGGTACTAAAGTTGTTTGTGCCTCAAAACAAATTCAATACTAACACTTACACGTAGTATGTAGTATACAGGGGCGGATATAGGGGTGGGCCAACCTTGGCCCAGGCCCAGCCCAAATTTAAAAAATCCCTTTATTTTTTAGTGTAAAAACTTCCGGGCAAAAATTTTTCCAAAAATATTCTTTGTATCGGCCCAGTCTGGCCCAGTGTCCTGGTTGTATAATGCAGTAGAGTTCGTATCCACATAGAAATAAATATTTTACTTTTATAGAACTTGTGATTGGGGGGGGGGGGTGGAGGGCTTATGATTGTTTGATTTTAATTAATTAAACACTAAGATAAACGTCTTACATGAGTGTTGGTAGAAAATACCCCGGGTAGGAAAAGAGGCAGCATTTCAGTATAGTCAGAGCCGGTGATAAGGGGAGTTACCCTAGGCAAGTGCCTAGGGCCTCCATATTTTAGGGCCTCAAAATTTTTGAGAAATGCTTTTTATTGAAATATATTTATATGTGTTATTTGAGACATGAGTCCGGTAATCCCGGAATTTGACCTTGAAATCCGAGACAAGAAGGGGAGTGAAAACCTTGTGGCGGATCATCTTTCACGACTTGAAGGCACCCCCAACCCCAAGGAAGAGGAGATAAGAGACGATTTCCCATATGAGCAAATAATGGCAATCAAAGAGGTACAACTACCATGGTTCACTGATTTTGTTAATTTTCTTGCAAAAGAAATTATACCTCCATCACTCACTTTCCATCAAAGAAAAAAATTCCTAAGTGATGTAAAGCATTACTATTGGGATGAACCATATCTCTTCAAACATTGTGCCGACGGAATTGTTAGAAGATGCATACCCGATGAGGAAATCATGTCCGTCCTAAACCATTGTCACAACCTTCCTTGTGGTGGTCATCATGGACCGGACCGAACAGCGGCAAAAGTCCTCCAATGTGGTCTTTTCTGGCCAACATTATTCAAAGATGCAAGGAGTTATGTGAAAGCGTGTGACCGATGTCAAAGAACCGGAAATCTTAGCCGGAGGAATGAAATGCCTCAAAATATGATCCTTGTGGTAGAACTTTTTGATGTATGGGGATTGGACTTCATGGGACCTTTCCCTAACTCATATGGGAAGAGCTATATCCTTGTAGCCGTGGACTACGTCTCCAAGTGGGTGGAGGCAATAGCTCTACCCAACAACACTAGCAAAAGTGTGGGAGAGTTCGTGAAGAAAAACATTTTCTCACGGTTTGGTGTGCCCCGTACCATCATAAGTGACAATGGCACACATTTCAAGAATGCCCATTTTTCTGGCTTGCTAAAGAAATATGCGGTATTTCTTTATAAGGTATTTTGTTCATAATAAATGTCCTATAACTAGAATTTTTAAAAAATGCGGTATTTCTTTAGTACCTCTACATATTTATTTTATATTTGTACTTTGTACAACTTTCTATGTTGTACAAAATACATGAATCTCAATTTCTTTAATTAATTCATATACTATGTATATGATACATACATTAGTACTTTCATTTTAATTGATAAAACCACATAAATAAAATATAAGAACAATTTTGACCCGTGCATCGTGCGGGTATAATACTAGTTTCTAAAAAAAAATTAAAAAAAAATAACTTGACGAGGAGAAGGGAGAAGGTAGCTACAGCGGAAATGCCAAGACTCCATTTTTCCAGGTTACAGGTGTCGATCCTCTCCAAGCAGAGCTATAAGCTTTGGAAACATCACCAACAGTAATGAAAACCATGGGTTGCAACGATTTCCATATTCAAACAGATTAAGAAAAAACTGTTAAATTCATCTCGTGGCTAGAAACGCAGCTGCATACCTCTCGACTTTGATCTCAGATTACGCCAATATCTCATTTACCGAGTATTTATGTTGATAGTTGGGAGAAGGTGGATATAGACTGGAACGAACAATGTAGACAGAAGGTGCGAGAGAGGTGTTCTAGGGAGAAGCGGGTTGGGATCCTCTACACTAGGAGGGTGCCTTGCGCTTCTGCCAACACGGCCTATGAGTTGTCTATTGGACGATGGGGAGGAAGGCACTCTACCTCTACCGTAGAGACTCCGGATCAAGGGAGAAGCCGCGTGAAATTAGGATGTTTTCTTTTGGTGGTTCTAACGGGGTGTCCGCATTATGGATTTTAATGGATTTTAAAGGATTAGAATTTTAAAGGATTTCTATAGAGTTGTATAGAATTTGTGAGATTCTAAGAAAATCATTTTGAAATCCTTGAAATCCAGGAATTTGAACCCTGATTCTCAAAGCCTTAAAAGAGAGATGCATTGTGGAGGGCCGCTGCTGCTTATAGACCTATCCCCAAAATTAACCACTCTCCAATCTCACCTCATTGGCATCACTCAAACCCCCTATACCCTTTACGTCATGAAGGTGTGAATGGACACCCATAACATATGCAAAGAGAGCAAACACCCATAAAAAGGGCAGATCTTTATCTCGCAATGGCTACCTTGACTTTCGGAGCGGCTGCCACCAAGCCCTCGCACCAGGCAAGACCGTAAGGAGCTGTGATAAAAAAAATTGGCACGTCAGGAGAGAAGCAGCTTACCGGGTCACTACTGTGAGGAAGGAGGTGGGAGGGAAGCAGATGTATACTAAAATCCGATGGGGCTTCGAGAGATTTGGGAAGGAATATTTTATGCATTGAAATCTAATAAAATCCTTTAAAATCCATTAGAACAAATAATAATTGAAATCCATGGAGAGATTGAGGACACCCATATTTTAATGGAATCCATTGAATTCCACATTGAGGACACCTAGATTGTGATGGAATTCTGAAATATTTTAAAATCCATTAAAATCCAGATTGAGGACACCCCCCTAAATACCCAAACGAGATTAAAATATATAGAAATCAGACGTTTATCAGACCAGATCAGACCAGACTAGCAAATTTCAGTTCAAAAGAAATCAGCCTTAGTGCCAAAGAGAATTCGGACAACAAGCGTATAAATAGGTAGACTGAAGAAGGGGTGTTTTCTAAGATTACGGGAAAACTTAGAGAAAATTGCTCACCGTAGGATTAATTCAAAGAAACTTTACAAAAATAAGACTGAGTTATGTTTCTTTCGTGCATGGGACTTATTAAACACTATTTTAGGAAACTTTATTTTTGTTTTCCGTTTTTACCCTTCACCTTAATACTCTGGATTAAAAATTAAAAATAACTTCTCTGGCTCCTCTATCTCCTTCATCGCATTCCAATTTAGCATTGATTTAAGTGTCTCTGGCCGACGACTCCGGGATTGAGATCTGCCGGCATAGCTTACTCATCCGTGTGATTTCAAAAACTTTCAAACCCCTTGTCTTATACATATGGTGTTGAGCCGACCATGGAATTAGAATACTTTTCAACATCGTGGCTTCTATAATCAGATGTTGTGACCACGTATGTCGCCTCATTGCGGAGTTTCTCGAAGGCTTTTCGAGGTAATTTCATCATTGAAAATAGTGAATTGTATATACAGAGTATAATGTTTTGTGTTGCCTGCTTCGTATTATGCTATTATCGAGATCTATTGTCTACTTACTGTCTATGTATTGTCTATTTTAGGCCATAGTTCTTAAATTCACAAATAACAATGTCTTATCACTTTCATTTTATTTCATCCAATAAGTGTGTGAGACTTTTAGGTTTGTTTTGCTTACAGGAAGTTGGCAAAAATTCTTTCAAAGCATTTTGAGGTCAAGCATTATACCTTGTATGCTCAATCCTCTATGATGTTGGTAAATTAGTTATCTACTTACAATGATTATTTATTTATTGTTGTTTATTTTATTTGATAATATATTGTTACTTTTTTTGGCATACTCATCACTTTCAAACACATGAGTTTAAAATTGTTGACAAAACCTCCGGAAGTTATGTTCATGTCGTGTTATTGAACTCGAGCATTTCATCTATATTAATGGGATTGCGACGGTCTGTCACCATCAAGGCTTACCATGCTATGAAAAGATGCACTTTATTAATTCTGGTTTAGATTGGGACATTTCACATCATATGAGATCAGTTGTATGTAAAACCATCTACTTTGGCATGCCCACTTGGTAGATTCAAAATGGAGAGCATGCCCTCAATTGATGAATTTTCATCTCATTGGCGTTCTTCTCGGTGCAAGAATAGTGATCACAACAAGAAATCTTACTGAAATCCTATACTTATTTCTAATTTTTAACATAGATGTTTCCAGTTCTACATTTTCTGTTTTGTATGAAGTTTTGTACTTCACATGTACACCTACCTGTATTTTGTTTTCCATT